TGGGGATTAGAGAAGATTATAAAATTATTCTTGACCTTTGGAAGTGAAGAGGTTGACTTTAAAAAAGATTTAAAGCCGAATTTCTCAAAAATGGGGATATCCTGGAAATTTTTAAAAGAAATATCTACAGGTTGAATTTTGGCCTGACAAAAATTAGAAAGTTTTCCCATAATAAAGGGAGCTAGTGACGTAGAGGAATGAATTTACAAAACTAGGGAACATCAAGAAGCATTTGGTCAAATATACAATGGAATAAAATAAATTGATATTTTCTTTTTAGACACACAAACCCTAAGGACACTTTTACCTAGTTCTTGTTATCATTTGAAGTCATATATGATAACAAAGGGAGTGCAATAGCAGGATAAAGGATATCAGAACACACATCAGTGCTATCGGGGAAGTGGAGACCTAAAAAAATACCCAAGGAATAATCTAAGGTTTATCTTTAGATGAATTTTTTTCCTATTTTTCTCTCTTTTTTGGCGCCATTTTTCATGAGGGGATAGTATGGAATTTAGATTTGTCAACGGGCAAATTGGAAAGGAATTGTCATGAAATTTTAGCATTTGTCATGGGAAAAAATGGAAAGGAATTGTCTTGAATTTCAAGGCCACATGAAAGCTTGGAATGATAACACATGGCAATGGTAATTTCTTTCTACTTTGAGGGGAAAATAAAGTCTTTGAACTTACGTGGAGTCTTGAAAAAGATGATACATAGCCATTGTAATTTTGTGCAAGATTAATGGCAAAGTATCAAAGGTTAACTTGAGAGGCATTATAAATACCCTCCCCCCTCCCATTGCATGAAGAATTTTGACCAACTTGGGGAGGGAAGGGTGAAGTTTTTTCTCTAGGAAAAACAAGAAAGAGAAGAGGAAGAGGAAAGAAAGCATGCAAGGTCAAGTTTCAACACAAGGTAAGGACATGAATTTTAATGTTGTTTATGTTATCCCTTGTGTTGTTGAGCTTGGATATGGTTTTGTTGAGTTTTGAAAGTATTAAACCCTCATATTAGATGTTGTCCAAATGTGATTAAGTTATGGAAATGATTAATTAAAGTTAGATTAATGATTAAGAGGAGAAAAAGAGTAGTAATCAAGTGATTTTGTGATGAAATTGGAAAGAATCTAACTTTTCCTTAACCTTTGTATAATTTTGGCCAAACCTAGGGTTCATCTTAAGGTTATATTTTAATGATTTTGATGGTTTTAATGTATTTAGAATGAAAAATTGTGTAGATTAAAAGTGAGAAAGTAAGTTTGGAAGCATTGAAATTGAAAATGAAATTTTTGCCTCAAAACTCTATGTGCTTTGGCCAAGCCTTGTTTATGGGGAACGAGTTGGATTTTGTTAATTTTGAGCTTGAAAATGGATTTTAAATGCAAAATTATGTGGAAATAGAATGTAGAATTAATTTTAGAAAGATTGGATTGAAAGTCAAAAAGTTAGAGGTTAATGTATGTTGAAGAGAGTAAAGTATGAATGTTGTTTGTTACCATAGCTCTAATAAGTGAATGGTACAATGTGTTAATGTAATTAGGGCCATATGCAAGGAAGATGAAAGGGAAAGATTAATCAAGCAACTTCAAAGGTTGGTTGCAAAAGGAGCAAGAAAAAGAATGTGACAAGTTAAAGATAACAAACTTTATCTTACTCTTACATGCTTGGTCTTTGGTTGCATGAGTGACATGTTTGTTATGTTCATGTGACTATATGAAATCATGCATTGTGTATGTGATTTTGTTTAAAATATGTCATAGTTCTATATGTTTTATGTTTGATGCATGATGGTTCTTAAGCATGTCATTATATTATGAAAATGTTAAGTTTGCAAGCATGTTGTGAATGCCAAACTATGCCAGGTATGTTTGGATGATAATTGTTTGCTACTGAGATTCTCCTGAATCTCACCCTCCCTTACCTAACTATAATAGGTATAAAGATCATAAAGGAAGAATGCATAAGGTAAAGAAAGAAGATTGATAAGGAGAATTAAGGGAATGTATATGTTGTTCTATTATGTAATGAATCTCCTTGTATAGGATGATTGTATGAACATGCCTATTAATGATATGTAATGATGAATGATGATGTTGGCATGCAAATATAAGGATGATAAAGCATCAAAATGATTTATGAAATGTTGGAATGGTTATATATATGTAAAGAGATGTTTATTACATGTTAATTCAAAGTAAGAGGGTGAATATTCTGATATGACATGACAAATTTGAGATAGAGTAAAAGAAAAGCAAATGAACAAATCTATCCATGATATTTTGTGAGTAATAAGAACACATCCCCAACTTTGAAATAAGTGATAGATCACCTAAAATAGATGTGTGTGTTAAAAGATATAATTTTTCAAATTTAAGCTAGAAAAGCTGTGAAGTACTATTTGACCAAATAAATAGTACCAATTTACATATATTTTGTATTAAACGAGTGAATAAATGACCCAATGAGTATTGTTTTCCCATAGAGAATTAAAAGGTCTTTAAATAGATACTTAGATTACCTCAATACGATTTTTCTATAATTAGTTATGAATTTTTAAAATTAGATTAAAAATCTAAAATTACCAAGTGAATAGTAACACGAATAAAAATGCAAGTTTTCAATTCATGGGTGTAATTCATGATTTGCATGAATTGTAGTGCTTCCGAATGCATACTAAATGGGTTGAAATGACATATGTTTCAAGCGTTAAAATAATGATATTGATTGTTAATATTTTTAATTAAGATATGAACAAAATTGCTATAATTTTAAACTTTCAGAACAAATTTACACCCAAAACATTTTTAGGTGCCTAGTGCTTTGGGTGAAAACTTTCTAAACAAATTTACATATTGACCCAAATATCAATTCTTATTATGATCTTCCAAGCATTGAACAATTAATACTCAAGCATAGAAATTTTATTACTGGGATTATTTAAAAGTCACAATTCAGTGCAATCACAAACTCAATGACAATGAAGAAGCAGACACTATAGGTAAGAGCTAGGGCCAAGAAATTACAAAGAAAATATATTTTTGTGTTACAATAAGGATATATCTATATTTATATCATGAAATGAAAATTTAATTTGGGTTGTTCTGTCTTACCAATGAATAGGTAGTGAATTAGTCCTCTAGCATCAGTCCAATCAAGAGGTTTGGATCGATTGATTAGTTTGGTTTTTACATAATTTTTTTCTCTAGTTGAGCCTGAAAAATGTCGCTTTTAATTTTAAATGAAAAAAAAAAGTAGTAGTCCATTATATTTATACTTTAGTAATTCATTTTGTTGGATTAATGTATGATTTATGCATGAATATTTCATTTATTTGTGAAGTAACGTTGTTTTGTTATTGCCTAGGCATGGAAATGTGGGATTACTCAAAAGCCACAGCTCAGACAATCACAGATTTAATAACAAGAAAGAAGCACACAAACTCTATGCGTGTATTGCGGAAGCAGAATATAATTCTTGGGAGTGATTTAATTAGTTTGGGTAAATTTCGAAAGTTAAATAAATTAGTTAATTATAATGAATGTAATATGATCTTCTTAAAATATTCTTATATAACCTTAGATTATAGGGAGAATTTCATTGTAGGAATGCAGAACACAATTAATGTCAAAGAGCCCCAAAAACTTTCTGAAACCTCACTGCAAGACCAAGGGGCCAATCTGATATTAATTCAACAAACGAAATGATGCCACTGCCCCTAGTAAAAACTTATTTCCCTCCGAAAATGAGACATTATCAGCGAGTGTAAAAGACGGAAGAAAGACGGAAAGGGGGGGAGATGGCGTTATTTCCTGCCTCTCCCATGCAGCGCGCCGGTGCGGAAGGGAGATAGCTGACAACCATGAGCTGAGAAAACGCAGTGGCGGAGCTTCACTTTTGAGGTCCGTCCCTCTGCCGTCTTTTGGACTTCAAGCTAGAGTTGGTGCAAGAGAGAGAAATCGCAAGTGTGCCCTACAATGTTGCGTCTTCTCTGAAAGTAGCGTCAGGTTGGCGTGGGAGGTAAGATTTTGTTGTTAAAATTTTGGTTTTGTTGGTGTGATTTGGTTAGCACAGGTGGGTTGTGATGGGTGAATGAGGAAGAAATGAGTATTTAGGTGCATGGGCATGTAGGTTGGGAGTGAGTTGCAAATCTGACGGTATTTATGGTTTAAGAAATTCATGCTCATGATGTTTTAAGTTGTTAAAGATATGGTGTTTATGATGTTTTAAAAAGTGGGTGCATATTGAGTATAATGCACTGCTGAAGGAACTTAGGTAGGCGAAAATGAAAGGGAAATGTGTGTGTGGGCTGGAATGGGTTATATGACAGGTAGATGCGCAAAGGAATGGTGAAAATATATAGTACGATGGTAAATTTGCTAATTCTAGTTGTGTGCGAGAAAAAGCAATATAATGTTGCGAAAATACTAATTCTTGTTGTCAATTGTCAAATTGCTGATGTAAACATACATTGTGTCATACTTGAATGATGTGCAGTAGCAGAGGATAAATGGCTAGCAATAGTGGTAAACAAGTATTTTGCATCTTTCATGTTTGAGGGCACTTTGTAAAGACCTTAGAAGGGAAATTCATTTATGAAGGGGGCATCATTACTGGAAGATTGATTAGAGAAGGGATGACATATGAAGAACTACAATGCATGGTAGCTCATGATGTGTGGCCAGGGACTTGTGAATATAAAATGAAGTACACAGTTAGCTTTGACCGGGACACATTCTTGGATCTTGTTGACGATATTGGTGTTGGACAAGTAATTGAGTACAACAATAGTAGTGGCCATGTTTATGTTTGTGAGAATGAGAAAGACTTCACACAAGTGTCACAGCTGGACAGTGTACAAGAGTAAGTTGTTTTCAACTGGTTTTATTAAGATTGTGTGTAGGATAAGAAATATGTCCAATTTTGATAAATTGAACTGTAATACTCAATAGCTGTATTTGTTTATACAGGTTAGATGATTTGGTTGGCCCTTGTTGAATGTCAGTATCTCCAATTGAATTGGATCTAGACACAGACAACATAAACATATCTCCTGTACAAGATGTGCCAACACTGATAGAAAGTGTAGGTATGGAAATGTTGCCAACCCTAATAGCGGTGATGAATTCATCAAAGTGGGCAGATTTGTTAATGTCAAGAGGGCAAACCTTTATTAGTGCTGAACATTTTAGAGAGGCATTATATAAGTATAGCCTTGCACACAAGTTTGGTTACCGGTATGTAAAGAATGATAGGCATAAGATGATTGTGAAGTGCTGTGTAGATGGTTGTCCCTGGAAAATTTCAGCATATGGTGTAGGTGAGAAGAATGGATTCCTAGTTGTGAGAAGATTTAATCGTGAACACTTGCATTATGCACAAGACAACTTAGTTGTCCCTCAGAGAAAGATGTGAAAACTTGCTTCAGTAGTCATAATAGATGAGTTGATTTCTTGCATGCATAAAGCTCCAAATGACATTAGATGGGATTTGGAAAGAGAGTATGGGTTGAGCCTCAACTACCAACAAGCATATAGGGCGAAAGAGAAAGCATTGGCAAAAATTCATGGTTGTCCGCAGGAGTCTTATATGCTAATCCCTTGGATATGTGAAAGGTTAAAGGAAAGTGATCTAGAAACGGTAGCAAAGTAGGTTGCATCATCAGATAATAGATTTCAAGCTGTATTTATTGCATACAGTTGCTGTGTAGAAGGGTTTTTGAAAGGTGGTAGACCTATATTATATGTGGATGGATGCTACTTGAGTGGTCCCTACAAAGGAACGTTATTGGGAGCACAAGCGTATGATGCGGATAATAAATTATTCCCACTTGCATATGCGATTGTTGGAGGTGAGACGCTTGATGACTGGGCATGGTTTCTTGGTAACATAAAGGATATTACGGGATCATTAGAAGTGACAATAGTATCGTATAGACACAACTCAATAAAAGGTGTAGTACAAGCCGTGTTTGGAGGAGATCGACATGCTTTTTGCTACCGTCATATGAAGGAGAATTACAGTGCTGAGTTTTTGAAGATAACCAGGGGAAAGAGGAGGACCAGCGGACAAACAAAGGATGTTGCACTAAAATTACTTGATTCTATTGCATACGCAAGACTTGATAGAAACTTTGATCGCAGTATGGAAAAGCTAATGGCATTTTGTCCAGAATTGGGACAATGGCTTCAAACAAATGGAGACATTGAGCGTTGGGCACAAAGCAAATATCCTTACAAGAGGTGGGACAATATCACAACAAATATAACTGAATCCTTTAATGCTTGGCTTGTTGGTGAGAGGAAGTACAACATAGCTGTCTTGATACATGAGCACAGGGAAAAATTGGCAAACAAGATGTACCACAGCAAAGAAGCCATGAGGAATTGGACCAGTGGTATGGGACCTAATATAGAGGAAAAGTTGATGGATCATGTGGCCAAATCAGAAAGAATAGATGTGCAAGATTATGGAATGAATAATTTTAGGGTCAAATGTCAGGACTACCTTGCCCACATGCATGTGCTGCAATCAAGAAGGTATATGGTAATATATATGCATATGTCAAGGATTGCTTTTTACTCTCAGTCCAAAAGAAAATTTATGGCAAACTCATGATTCCAGTTAAGACCCATGACATCCCTAGGCCAGATTCCCTTTGTTATGAAGATTACTCGTCCACCATCTTCCTACAACCACCATTAACAACTCATTGTGTTGGAAGACCTAGAGTTAGGAGGATTGAATCACAATTCCAACAGAAGAAACTGTATCATTGCTCAGGATGTGGTGAAGTTGGTCACACTAGAAAGATTTGCAGTAACCCGAACCTGGGTGACTTTGTTGCTGAAAATAGTCTTTTATTTTCTTGGTTCAATGCACAGCTACTTTTGTACATAAATGAGCCCCACTATGTAGTTGTTGAGTTGTTGGGGAAGTAGCTATGACAACCCATTTTGATTTTTTAGTGGTGGGTTTGATTATATTTTGTATAGTATTGTCAATAGTTGAAAAATTTCATGACAGTAGGTGACTATAGCTGTCCCAGGTTATGTTATGCTGTAATCTGTCCACATGCAAATGGACTATTTTTAGTTGTAAATATATGTATGTATGTGGCAAATTGTGTAATGTCACTTGTGAACAGGCTCTCCCCTACCTGTCCACTGACAGACAGCTTATTCAGGTGAAGGTCATCATATGTAAATGGACTGATTACAGTTGTGAATATATATATGTATGTTGCCAATTGTCTAATGTCACTTGCAAATGGTATATGGAACCACACTTGGACACCTTCTCCAGGTGAATCAGTCCACATGCAAATGGACTATTTTTAGTTGTAAATATATGTAGGTGTGTTGCGAATAGTGTAATGTCACTTGCAAACGGGCTCTCCCCTACCTGTCCACTGACGAATGGCTTCTTTAGGTGAGGGTCGTCACATGTAAATGGACTGATTGCAGTTGTGAATATATGTATGTATCTTGCCAATTGTCTAATGTCACTCGCAAATGGTATATGAAATCACACTTGGACACCTACTCCAAGTGAATCAGTCCACATGCAAATGGACTATTTTTAGTTGTAACTATATGTACCTGTGTTGCAAATTGTCTAATCTCATTTTTAAATGGGCCCTTGCACACCTGTTCACCCACAGACACCTCCTTCAGTATGAGTAGGTCACATGTAAATGGACTATTTATAGTTGTGAAAATATGCATGTATGGTGCGAATTGTCTAGTCCCACTTGCAAATGGGCTCTCCCACACTTAAGTCAGACACATGCATCAGGTGAATCAGTCCACATGTGAAGCCAAGTATATGTCTTGCAAATTAGCTAGTCCCCCTTGCAAATGTGAACAGACTGATTCCACGTGTGAATATAGGTATGTCTTTTGCAAATTGGCTAGCTCCCCTTGTAAATGCGCTCTCCCTCACTTGTTCTCTCACGGACACATACTTCAGCTAAACCAGTCCACTTGTGAATAGACTGATTCTACATGTGAAGCCAATCATGTGTCTTGCAAATTGGCTAGTTCCCCTTGCAAATGGGCACTCTGTTCAGGTCAAGGACGACACATGTAAATGGACTGATTTCAGTTGTGAATATATGTATCGGAGTTGCAAATTCCCTAGTTCCACATGAAAATGGATACCTTATTCAAGTGAAGGAGGGCACTTGCATATTTAAGAGGACACTTTGTTCAGCTGATGAACGACACTTGTGAATGGTCTAATTATTGTTGTTAACTTATTTGTCGCTTTTGCAAATTGTCTAATGGTTCGTGCAAAGGTCTAATCCTTAATGTAGGTTGTTCAGTTGGAAATGGATGAACATTTGGTGTTAATTCCTGTTTTGTTGTTGCAAATTCCCTAATTTCTGTTGTCAACCATACATCTAATGAAAGTAAACAAGTAGTGATAATATGAATCCATTAAAACAGTCTTTATTAACATCTTTTGTATGCATAACATTTAAGTCCACATAAAGTGTTCACAACAACAATTACAGTGCTTATCAGCAAAACTACAAGGTAGGAATTTGATCAGTTATCGATTTCTCTTGCGTTGTCTGTTAATCTGGTCAAGGTGTTTGGCAATAGCATCTGACTTGATGTTTCTTTTATGAGTCACGAGCCACCATAACAGCTCACACCGTATAGATGTGTATTGATCGTATGGGACAACAATAACTGTTCTTAGTAAGTTGACACAAATGCATGATGTCATTAACATATAATTCAACACCTACCTCTATATAATAAGGCATGGTGAATAGAACTCCATCCTTCTCTTGTGGGTCGGGCTACTCTCTTAGATATGTGATGACATGAACCCCACAATCATCACTGAAAAAATGAACACATCACTATGTTGGCTTATCTATGTCAATTATAATTTATGACAAATAACTTTTAGTGAATAAAAGACTCACGTATTGTCTTGAACATGAACCATGGGATACAAGATGTCATTGTTTGACTCTGGGTTAGCCAAAGCCTCCAGCTCAGGCTTCACTCTCCTTAGTATTTCAATGAAGTGTTCCCTCTACACAATTACAAATGATTATCACATAGGGGATACCATGGTTGTCCACAAAAGTAGCAGAATAATTACAGCACTTACAAAAGTTTGCACCATCATTTGCTGCCCCTTTAATGCTAGATCAGACTTATTCTTCTTCTTTTGGTGCTTCATTGTATCCTCACCACCACGCAGAGAGTCCAGCACATAAAACTTTAGTGTGCTCAGTTCAAACACAAAGCAAAACCAATGCAATGCAAACACAACAGGTGCAAATATGTATTCACATTCAGCCAAATTGTATCCTAAGTGTTGGGGGAGTAGTTCTTTCAGATCTTTGTCCACTTGCCATGCTGTGTGTTGCTGCACCATCCTTGCCTATCACAATAGCAAATTGCACAGCAATGCAAATTGTTAGTGAAGAAACTGTATCGATAACTTGATTGCACAATTTAAAGCATTGATCCATTAACAGGGGATAACACTAACCATGAAATCTGCATCAAATATATGTCTTTTAACCGCAGAGGCACTCTCCTGTTGGTCAACATTCAAGGTGTGGGCAATCAGAGTCATGATCTGCAGAATAAAGGAGCAAGAAAATTAAATTAAAAATGTGGCACATTCCATATATGGCCACTTTGATGTAAATTGAATAGGTGTATGTACCCTGTTGCTTATCCACCTTCTAGGACCCAGTGCTTGTAGGTTTGCTCGTATTGCCAAATGCCCAAACATATCTACCATAACCCTACAACAAATATGAAAGTGAAAATAACCAGTCAGTGTTGCATAGTAGTATTATTCACAGGCTGTCTTTTTCATAATGACTGACTATACTTACTCTTGAGCCTCATCTGGTTGACACCACTCATTACACACAGTATAAAATGCATCCCTGTCACTCATTTTTACCTTTCTGCCATAAGTAGACATGTAAGGAGATTTAACTGTTGGGACTTTACATCTACTTGACCTCCTTATGGGTAGCTGCACTGCTTTGCCCACCATTTTCCCTTCTTCATTTCCTTCTTCAGTTTGAGCTGCCTGTTCATCTTCAGTATCCTTTTCTGCAGCTTCATCTTCTCTCACATTGTCATTCTCGTCTTCATCTTCCTCTTCTTCTTCTTACTGTTCATCATCATGCGATTTGTCACCACTTTCATGTGTTTCTCCGCCCTCTACAGTCATAACTTCATCATGTTGTGGCCGCTCATTTTCATCCTCCTCAGTGTGGTGTTCTTTTCCTTCTTCTTCATTGCCTCCCCGGTTAAGAATTTTGTTTTCCAGCTTAACTAATTCATCACAAACAAAGTTTTGAATCTTGGCCATCTCATTATTCAATGTGTTGTTGAAATTGACCCAAAACTCCTTAATGTCCAGCACATTGTAAATGTATGTCATCAAACAAATATTAAGTCTAACCAACAGACATTACCACATTGGTATTACTCACCGGATGATGGAAACTTCTGTTGCTCCCCGGTTGTGTTGACTCATTCACTTCAGCAGCGGGTGGACTGTAGAAAATGCCATATCGATCCCCTTTTCCGCATCAATTCTCCTCTTCACAGCCTTATCATCCCAATGTTTGATGGCGTCTTTGTCTTTTGGTTCACCTCCCTGCAGAGGGAGCCTGTGCAGGAAGTACAACTACAGAGAAAGAAAAAACATGACTCAAAAATCAAATTACATAATACATCAACAGTTTAATGGTCAAACCATATCCAACAGGGCATATTTTGTAAGGAAATATGCAAGTACCAATAAAAAGTAGATGCACCCTCCGACAACTCTGGCACTCTCGGTCTGTCCTTCCTTACTGCTCCTATTGTACCGTTTAATTTCCTCACTAAGCTCATCAAGCACAAAGGAAGCCCAGTCAAATTTTTTCTAGTTATTTTCTGTGCAGGCCATTACTTTTAGCACCTTGTCACTTACACTTGTACTTCCCCATGGGACAAAGAAGAGTGCCCACTGTGAAAAGAACAAAATAGAATTCAAAGTTTCTATCTTCTTCATCACTCTTTATCTTCTCTACAATTTGAGAATATGTCAGTGGAGTATAGTCCTTCTTCAGCTCATTTACTTCATCCTTGAAGCCATCCAACTTCACTTTGGAGCCCTTATCTGGTAACCCAAGAACCCTCCTAACATCTGTACTAGTTACCTTCTTTGTCTTCCCCCTTATGGTGATTTGTTTACTTGGGGGGTCATATGCATGAATCAACTCCAGACATAAATCTCTAGGTAGCTTATTCAAAGTAATACCAAGAAGATAACCAAACCCCATTTCTTCTACCTTGCGCTTTAAATTTTCTTTGCCATTTATAAAGTTTGCCACTTCCTTGAATTTTGTGGGGGAGCACCGAGTAGAAAATGAGGACACATATTTCTCCTTCTTCTTCTTCTCCTCTATTAGCTGTTCCTCCTTCTTCCTGTATGGCTCCCTGTCAGCATCACTCATCTCCTTCCAAATTGCTGAAGCCGCATCTGTGATTGGTCCCATATTTTCATGCATCTCCTGCTTCTTTTGCTCCCAATATTCTCCCTTGAATACTTTCCAGCCAGTAACTTATGCATCCTTTTTTCCCATCTTCTTCCTTTATCCAATAATCACAAAGTCATTAGTTAGTACATTAAACAACACTTCAAAATTCATACCATCCAACATTTCTTGTAACATAAACCCGAAAATTGTATACACACTAATTATTATTGTTAAATCCTTAACTTTACTTGTCATACGACAGGACATCAAATTGTTACATGCAGGTTAACTGGATAATGACACCATTCTTTGTGTAAATTAGCTAACATTCATTGTCAGGCCACAAAAGATCAGATTCCAACTAACATGAAATTATGCAATAGAGGTGGTTAATTAACTACTTTTTCATGTCAATTTCCTAACTTTTACACTCCAACGCAGATCAAACAATTACACTGGAGAACAGTGGAAATTCAGCTAATTGCTCGTATCAATTGCCTAATTTTCCCTGTGACGCCACTGCAAACTAGATTCCCACAAACATGCAATTATGCAATAGAGGTGGTTAATTAACTAATTGTTGAGGTAAATTTCCTAACTTTCTGAGTCCAACACGCATCAAACAGTTACACATAAGCTAAGTGGAAATCCAACTCACTGGTGGTGTCAATGGCCTAATTTTTCCTGTGAGGCAACTGCACACCAAATTCCTACAAACTTAGTGGGTAATTTACTGATTCTCCATGTAAATTGCCTAACTTGATAGATTCAACGAAATATGAAACCGTTAGACAGGAGCTAGGCAGATAATCCCCTAAATCCTCGTGTCAATTGACTAATTTCTCCTGTGAGGCCCACTACGAATCACGTGTCAACAAACATGAAATTTTGAATTGCAAGTTGTTACTTTACTGATTGTTCATGTAAATTTCCTAACTTCCAGAGTCCAACACATATCAACCAGTTACACAGAAGCTAAGTGGAAATTCACCTAATTGCTCTTGTCAATTGCCTAATTTTCCCTCTGAGGCCGCTGCAAACCAGATTCCCACTAACATGCAATTATGCAACAGAGGTGGTTAAATAACTAATTGTTGAGGTAAATTTCCTAACTTTCTGAGTCCAACACGCATCAAACAATTACACATAAGCTAAGTGGAAATCCAGCTCACTGGTGGTGTCAATTGCCTAATTTTCCCTGTGAGGCAACTGCACACCAAATTCCCACAAACTTAGTGGGTAATTTACTAATTCTCCATGTAAATTGCCTAACTTGACAGATTCCACGAAATATGAAATCGTTAGACAGGAGCTAGGCGGATAATCCCCTAAATCCTCGTGTCAATTGACTAATTTCTCCTGTGAGCCCCACTACGGATCACATGTCAACAAACATGAAATTTTGAATTGCAAGTTGTTACTTTACTGATTGTTCATGTAAATTTCCTAACTTC